GTCCATGTGAACGAAAGGTGTCGTAGTAATATGTACGTTCGAAAATCCATTTCTTTCACTTGTAGATACCGAAGTCCTGTTAAAGTCGACATGTCGTAGCTGATATATGATTCACCGCGCGAGCCAGAGCTCCATGGCCCCATGGCCCCATTCCATTCTCCCCTTTCCTCCTGCGCCACAAGCAAATTGTCACGTCGAGAGACGCACATTCCCAGGGATTCGCGTGCATGCAGAGGAAGCAAGAGATCGGGAAAGTTGTAGGAAGAGATTGGCTCGAAAAATTCGCTAGGAGAGGAACAATGACTTCTTGAAGAGGGGATGTATCATGTTTTCAGGGCTTCAGGAACGTTGGGATATCTTATCTTCCGACCATCCATTGTTCTCCGTGCCGATCCCTTGTTTTGCTGTTGTTGTTCATTCCTCGTCTCTCTTCGTTGATTCGCTGACTACCGCACGGATGTTCTCGTTCTCGTTCTCATTTTGTACGCTGAGCGGGGATTATGCATGAATGCGAAAGTCGAGAAGGTTCACCAAATCTTTTCACCCTCTCCTCCTCCCATTCGTTCCTTCTCTAACAAAGCTTCGAACTCTGCCTGTTCCAGACCCTTCTCTCGTTCGGGGAGTGATACATTCATTGTTCCATTCGAATAGGCTTCTTGCCCCGACGAGTCCCCCTCTTCCTCCTTGGGGTCATTGGACTGTGCTTGCTTCATTGGAGCTTGTTGACGCGTACGTTCCAATGTGCTTTTGGTTTCAAGATCAATGGTGTAGACTATACTTCTCTGGCCCTTCAAGACTTTCTGTCTTTCCTCGGTAGTGCGAGATAATGTCTCTTGGTATATGTTAAGTTTCCTAGAATTTGTCAGCATGGTTTTTAAGCTCTCAAGCTTCCAACACATACATGCCGTTCTAGGATCAAAGGGAAGTCAACGCGATGGAATGAGTATCGATCTGAAATGAAGACAACGAGTAAATAGAGCGGTCGATGTGATTATTCACGTTATATATACACTCATCCTAGTCGGACCGTATTTCTGGACAGGGTTGATAGGTGAATGAGGATGAAAAAAGATCACCCTATGGTATAGAAGGCGAGTGAAAGATTCCATGAGCATATCCAGCAGGAGGGACAAGTCAAAGGAGAGATACAATTTCTACTGACCGATGCCAATTTTGTACATTATGTTCCAGCTGACGTCGTCCGAGACTAAGACCTATCGCCATACCTACAATACCACTCGGAATAACAAACCTTAAGGGAGAGAAGAGGATCTCGGGAAAAGGAGGTCGAGGTCGACGAGAAACGAAGCTCAGTGATACACGAACAATAGTCGGGATACTACTACCTATCTGTCAATCAGTCTCGATATTCTCCAGGCTTGTCGGTGACTCAATTCTTCTTCTTCTGGATCAGACTGAGAGATTGATGAGTACTCGTACTGTATCAGTTCGATAAATGTGTGCAGGTTCATCAACAACAATATAGGTGACGTGTAGGACAAGGGAGGTCTAATAATGATGGAGGGAAATGTTCTTCATAGACTTTGGAGATGACCGACTCACCAAAAAACCGCCCACCCCGTAATCCTGGCATTTTTCAAGATACCTCACATCCTCTTTCGTCAACTCTCCTTTCTATCAGCTTAAGCTTCCATTGGCTAGAGTGATACTGCATTATGCATATGTACATAAAAGCCACCTTGGGCTTACCTGATATCGGTCGGATAAGACTGATGACGTTGTAGAACGGGGAGGGGCGGAAGGGAAGGGTGGCAAGGGTGAACAGGCGTTTACCATTGTCAATTCGTTGCTGGAGGAGATCTTGATATATCTTATTGGAGAGGGGATTTGAACGACCACTCAGGAAAGTCATTCGTCGTACAACACGTCAGTAGATGGATGTACGAAGAGGATAGTAGATGTACAATAGGAACCCAACTTCCCGCACAACACAAAATCTCTTCCCGCACAACATTTTGGGCGCCTAACCCATGGTAGAGGTCTTTTGACACGCCTAACTCCCTGATCACCCTTGTCCAATCAGTAAATATCCTCCCAACCACCCTAACCCCCTAACCTCCCTAACCCCCTAACCCCCCTAAACCCCTAACCCCCTAACGGTAATCCATCAACATGGCCTCCACCTGATGGCGGAGGCCCAAGCTGTTTTGGAAGTTAGGCATGTCAATTCTATGCATCTGGCTCATTAGGCGCCCAAAATGTTGTGCGGGAAGAGATTTTGTGTTGTGCGGGAAGTTGGGTTCGTACAATAGGCGAATACAGTGTTGTCAGGTTGTTATTAAGGGTCGTTTTTAAGTTACGTAATAACCCGTAATTACAGCCTTAATTTGGTGGTCCAAAAAAGAGGGCTTAAAAACGTAATATCATTTTGCTCATGCTGGGCTATGGGGACTCATTCCTGCATTACTTTGAGTAATACATGCACTATATCAACACATTCCATCAGCTTCTGAAGTGACTGCAGCTTCTAGAATGGCATAAATGGGCAGGAGTGACATGAATGATTGCAGTATAGTGAAGGTAGAGGACTATGGTGGAGGTGTGTTGTGTCACGTGACCTATTCCTTCATCACTCATAGTAGGGGATGATATTACGTTCTTAGACCTTAATAACCCACCCTGGCTACCCATTTTACAACCCTTAATATCTTAACCCTTAATATAACAACACTGGGCGAATAGGGTCATGTATAGAGATGACGAGTAGTGGGGCACCGCACTCACTACACCGGCCGAAATCGAGAGGCTGTACCCTTCCATAACACTTCTTCTCGACATCTATCATACATCTTTCCATCTGAATTATATCAAAAACCATATATAATCACAATCCTCATTACCATGTAAATACCCTTATATTACCATAATCAACTACAGTAACTCAACATGTCCACAACAACCACAACAACATCAAACCCCTCCTCCCCTTCCCCTTCCCCCTCTAATCAGGTAAACGTTCCAACTTCCACAGTCATCGCCATAGGTGTAGGTTTCGTATCCTTTGCATTACTCGTTTTACTATTCACAGTCCTCCTCCGTATCAGACGGATTCGTCGTCTGGCTCGTACTCGTGCTTCAGAAGGTCCAGTGAGATTCCGAGAAACGTGGGAAAGAGAAGGTGGTTGGTGGGGTTTCTGGCATACTGGTGATCAGATGGCTGTAGGTGCAGGAGGACATGGTACTGGAGTTGGAATGAGAACGGAACTTTGGAGAAGGAGAAGATTGGAAGAGTTGGTCAGGTATTTAGGTGAGGAGGAGGTGGAAGAGCCGAAGATGTGGGAAATTGGGATGAAAGATGATGTGGGGGTAGTGGGATTTGGGGATATGAAAGTGAGTGAAGAATGATATTGTCTCACCTTCATCTTATGCTATCAAATTTCCTCAGTCTCGGAATGTGTATAAGCACTATCATTGTCATGACATCAAATTCAAAGACGAGAAGGAGTCATGTGGGCAATCACGAGGGATGATGACGGGAGGCATGACATGGGAAACGAAAAGAGATACGATGAGATGAGATAGGGGAAAAACTGACAATTAGCCATTATCAATCCTTACCAGTCCGAAACCTCTCGATACAGGAGGCTGGTATCCCTCCTCTTTACCCGACCCCACTCTTTCTCTCAATGTTTTAATATCCTTACCAACTCACAATAAATCAGAAGAAGAAATACCAGATGTGGTCATCGGAACAACAACTCTATTACCTCTAGTCCCTCATCTACCACAGTTGAATTCTCCTAAGAATTCTTCGGCTTTACAAGTACCTATAGAAAGAGCGGCGATAGTGAAAACAGGAACATTATCGAAATCTGAACGACCTGGTGTGATCGCTATGTCTGGAAAATCAACTAGGATCGGAGGGTTGGGAGAATCAGGAGTATCAAATGATCTAAGTAAATCGACTATTGAAGAGAAAGAAGAATTGGAATATCTTGAGAATTCACATCAACGTGCGAGATGGGAAAGGGATAGAGAAGGTGAATGGAGGATACAAGGTCTTGGATTGAATGATGGGTGATATTGTGTAACTTGTATGACTTTAATCATGTTGTTGTTTTGGATATCTGATCGTTTTCTCTAATCCAACGCAGGATACTAAGAGCACGAGTACTCGTTCTCCTATGAACAGTGCTGCATCGAGTGAGACTCTCACTTGAAAGCGTGTCTAGTAGAATTTGCAGATAACAAAGCATCTCTCCCAGGAATGCCATCCGTGTCAGATATACAAAGACGGTATTTTGTAAGACTTGAGTGAGGGAACAAAGTTTAGTAGGTGAGATGCAGAAGATAAGTAAATGAACAAGGAGAAGAGAAGTTGTAACATCATCAACAATAACCTCTTCACCTCCACCATCCAGCCCACCTGGTTCTCAAACCTTCCCAATCATCCAAAGCGGGTCTAACATCCAGGTGAAAAGCCATCCTTCCCGGTGAATTCGGATCGTGTTTACCAGTGTAGAAATCTATCACGTAGCGAATTTGATGACCGCATCGATCGACTATCCAATCGTGTCTGTCGAAAGGGGCCGAGTAGCTGGTGATCAGTTTTGGGTGATGCTTCAGGAAGACACGGTCAGAGGTGTCAGCGTTGAAGGAAGAAAATACGATTTGAGAGGTGGGATAAGGGGAGGAGTCATGTTGATATCAGGAATTGGATATATGAAAAAGAAGAACTTATGCAGGTGGGTATACTGAAGCAAAAGGAATTGTAAGAGTACAATGAAGAAATGGAGAAGAAGATCACAGCAAGGAGGGGGGAAGGGGACAACTCACCCTAATAAAGCCATTACCCAAGCTTTAGGTGTTCTATCTTTCGGTCTACCTGTAAAACTACTCAATCTAGGTCCTCCACATTTTTCACTACCCATACCAGCTTCCCACCATAAAACACCTTCCCAAGCTTTCTCATTGACCGCGTTATGTATAGGTACGATAGTCTTCATATCCTCTCCTCGTGGATTATGGTTTTTTCTAAGCATAGCATTGAAGAATTGTTGTTCAGATGGATATACCCAATTTCCTTTTGTATCTTTTTTCATACCTTCGACCTCTATTGTCTGCTTCATCTTCCCATTGCTTTCTCCTCCTTTTCCCCCTCTTGACGATGCCTCGGGGTGACCTTGACGGTTGGTGGATGTTGATGCCTCGGAAGGTGGTTCAGAAGGATGAGTAGATTCTATATTAGGTGTGTAGGTGGTAGAACGAGGTATGGAAGATATCACTCTGTTTTGTGAGAGACCAGATGATGGAGGGATATAGGGAACGGTTGGGGTGGGAGAGGGAGAAGTCGGATGGAAGGGATGAGATGAAGATGAATGTTGGGATAACCAAGTTTGACGGGTTTCATGATCCACAGGACATCTATCTTCCGTAGATATCGTACTCCCCACGTTCAACTGGGACGTTTGGACCGCGGTCTGTTGAGCTGTTGTGTTTGATGAAGAAAACGGCCACATATCGTATTTCTGTACTTGGGGACATAGAGAAACCCAACTTTCTCTTGGCTTGAGCAGGGAAGCGGAACGGAAGCAAAAAGTCTCCATCACGTGACCTGGAAACGGACATGAGTTCAAACTCCATTCCTTCTCCTTCTCCTTTTAGCACCCCCCATCACTTTTCTTTGGTCCGAGTAGTACTGGTAATACTGGTAGCATCGAGGTAGGTGATCTCGATAGGATAAGAAAACAAGTGAAGATGTGGAGACCATCAAGACAAAGTAGAGATCCATTAGATGAAATTCAAGGTGGTCAACGTATATCCTTACCTACTTCTTCTACACCCGCCCCACCCGTTCTTACCCTACGAGCAAGATCCGCCCCTGTCTTACTTCGTCAAAGATCTGGTCTCACACAAGGTGATATAAGACCTCCTGAGAATGTACAAGGTCAAAGGGTTTTGGGAAATGGGGAAGGAGTTTTCGCACCGGATAGTATCACTTTAGGACAGTTGAAAGCTCATACGGCTGCTATGCCACAGAAGCAGAAGGTGAGTGAAGTGTTTCTGCTCATGACGTTTTTCTCAGTAATTATCATCAAGTCCCCTCCCACATCTATCTCCCTTGATTGTTGGAGATTTTCAACTGGTATGCGGTTGAACATTTGTGTGTCGGGTGTGAATGCCTGGTATGGTATACTATCCTTGTATAAAATCACGACGGCTTGTTGATCTGGGGAGGAATGAGAAGGGAATGTGCGGAGACTACACGGTCATTCACAGGAGAATCTGGGATGAAGGGAGGAGTAAAAGAAGAAGCTAATTGCAGATACAACAATACGACTTTCGTTATGATGATACGGATACGACAATGAATGAATTACAAGAATTTTATACTTATGCAGAATTACCTTTGTTAGAGGAATACGCAGAGAAATTTACGTTTACCAAAGGACCTACTCGTTAGTCTTTTCATTGTGATTCCGAGGTGTGCGATATTTCATCAAGTTATCGATAGAGGTCCTAACCCAACGTTTTAAACCCATTAGATCATGAATCATAAAGAGGTGCTTCACTCCTTTAAGCAGAACCGCAAATGCAGTTCTTTCGACAGAATTGACGAGTCGTTCAAGAGTCTTTTATCAGGGAGAATTCTCGTCGTGGGGTTATAAAGTGTTTGAGCTATGCTCATAATCAGCTTGGACAGAAGCCACCGCGGCAGAGCGGAGATCGTATATCGAAAGACAGTTGGAATATCTTGAATCACCTCTTGATGAGATGCGTGGTTTTGCAGGATGGGGTCTTCAGTATTTATTACTTGGTACGTCGCATCATCTATAACGTTTTTATCAAAACCGTCTTATACGTCACTCTCAGCACGCTCGTCCGTCTCATCACTTCCAATGCCTCAGATCAGAGGTTTCCAATGTCTGATCACAAAGCTCTAAGAATCTATGTCCCCACGCTAATCGCCCAGGAAACTTCACTGAGACGCCAACCCCGGAATTGCAATTACATTGGATCATGCAGAATGCCAAGATGATCAGAGATGCAGATGGGGTAGTCCTTCTCGTTACCAGTTTAAGGGATGCGAGCAAACGATATAACGCCTGTCGAGCACAGTGAGCTCTACTCTCTTTCTGTTATTCTTTCTTCATTCCCCGGCACCGTCCTCTGTCACTCTGTGTAGGAGGGCTGGAGGGTCACTGCGTGACTGGTTCTTCCTCCTGTTCCCGTACAGACATGGGGCTGTTGATCCAATCGAGTTTGGCGCAGACGAAAGTGAGCACCACTCATATGTAGACTAGGCAGAGCCGCTGAAGATCGGCACGAATATACAGAAGAATTACGACGATTAATGACTTTGTTGTATTTTATTGTGGAGGTTTTCCGCACCGACGAAACTTTTGGAGATGAATTGAGTGGGTGCTTTTTCCCTCTACGTTGATCCGCTTCAAATTGTTGGACATGGTCAACGGCGATCGCTGACAGGATAGTGTCTATGAGTCCTTGCTTGCTTTTGGTCCTGTTCGATATGTTAGCCGGTTTGAAAGAAAGGCCGCCAGGCGGTTATCCTTTCAAGAAAGTGAGTAATCATACTATTTCGCAATCCCTTCCAGATCGAAAACCCAGTTTGCCAATCATACGACATTTTGCTGGGAACAGAACTCACTATCAGCTTCTTCTCCTACTTTGGAAAACCCTTCTCGCCTGTTTGGGAGGAATGAACGACGCCACCAAAGCTCATGCTCTCACACGTGAACTCGCTGGCCTTGGACCTGAAATCAAGCATTTCACCAAAGCCACTCCCATCGACATTTCTTCATTCCGACAAGATACATCTATAAAATATCCCACTTTTTCACCTTCACCATCATTCTCCATTCCCGTCTCAAATGAAAGATTAGCAGAAGGTATCAAACCTCTTCCCTCTCGACCAAACTATTATTCAACAGAAATACCAGCTCCTTCTAAACCTCCTCCTGAATCTGTAGCTCAACCACCACCCCAACCCACCCAACCTATGCCAGGTACACCAGCTCCATCACCTCCTCCCAGTCCAATCCCAATGAAACCTAAAAAACAACAATTTCAAACTGATCCGAATAAACCTTTCGTTTTTCCCTTCTCGCGATTAAGTCTGAATGGTCCGGGCAGTTTGGTACCTTATGCTATTGACGAGGCAGATAAATTGTATCATAAACATGCGTATGTGAGTTTAGGATTGTATCAAATGTGGACGGAGAGGGAAGAGTATATACGTGAGGAACGAGGGTTAGGACAGAAAGGGTTATTGGGGTTGAGTTTTGAAGATGAGGAAGAGGATGAAGAGGCGGAAGAAGCTATGAGGAGGGAATGGAAATATGAAGAAGAAGAGGAAGAAGCAAAAGAAAGAGGAGATAAAGAGGGTATGAGAATAGCTAAAGAGAAGAAGTTGGCGAGTAAAAGGTTACATCGGGTTGAAGTTCTTTATGTGGGTAACCCTTCTCTGCCTTTTCTTTCATACCCCCGCGTTGTTGCAATTCCAGATGTTCAACCTTCATCTTCTCTGACACGGAGCAGCCTGCATGTGCACACCTTTTAGTCCTCTCTCCTCAACTACTCTTGGTCATATCCATCCGGACAGGATCTGGCCATTCTGCATCGGTGCCATACTATCTTCTCCAATCTGAAAGGCAAATACAAGATGACTGACTCGAGACAGAAAGGAATCTTACCAAACATGCAAAATTGCGTCATAGCGATTCTCAAGATCTTACTTGCCAACGTCACAGGCCCAGGGATGCAACAAGTACAGATGAGTTTACAAGGTGCTACTTCACCTACAAACGAACAACCTCGTGGGTTGCCTCGTCCTCATACTCATCTTCCACAGTCTCCCTTGATGACACCACACAATCCCATTTCTACCCTCTCTTCGATCTTCTCTTGTCTCAAATACCACTGGCATCATGAGGCTTGCGGTTTCTTACAACTGTTCGTCATTCCAGATCCAGCTGACACACAGCTCAATTACCTCCCCCTTACAACCCTTCCCCAGAGGCTATAGACTTAGCACGTTCGAGTGAAGTCGTATCTAAGGCCATCTCTGCTATTTTGATCTTACTTTTGAAATGGTTCAAAGCGTCTCGTAAGTCCTTCTTTCTCATCATTCTATATATCCCACTGTGAAGGTTTGACTATTGTTGATGTCCCCGTTTGGGGTGTCAAGGAGTGCGGCTGATTGAAGATTGTTTGAAAGCGCATTATTTCGCTCAACTATTGTTCGACTCGAATTGTCTGTTACTGGTTCTTAAAATGTTGCCACCGATTTTTACACATTTAGGAGGTGCTCTA